TAATTTGAGTGGTTTAATACATTTGGTAATATTTTGAAAGTGTTTTAATTTTAAGTAGAGCAAGTCTTAAGTTCAAGGGACTACCTCTGTCTGGCTGCAGTCTGCATTTTATTTTGCGTGATATATCATAATCTCATATTGGGCAAGAATGCCACTTACATTGCCTTATTTATAGTATTTCGAATTTTTGTCATGTAACCTCCCTATTTCCCTATTTAAATAATTTTCATCTGGTCACTAAACAATATTGTGGCCCAAATAGTCATATATAAAAGTGATTTTTTTCTTAAAACAGTATGATAATGTCAGTTCAAAGATACATACTGTTGTTCTAATACTAAAGTTGCATCCACACAAAGACAGGTTTATAAAAAAGGTGGAGTGAGCATGTAGTGGTACCCGCAATTAATAAAGTCTAAACGGGGTCTAGAGGCCTCCTTTTACAAGCCTAGTCCTGGAATTGGCCACGTCTAGACGATAGCCCCTGCTTCAGCCACGACTTCCTTCAGGAGTCTTCCCCCAGGGTCATTCTTGAAACCACAGAATCAGAGATCTAAAACCTGTTCCCGGTTCTGCTGACTCACTAACTGGGTCTCAGATCTCACTTTGAACTAAATGTTCCCGGTGGCCTCGCAGACAGAAAGGCTGCAAGCTTTTGTTCCCACGATCAGTTTATCTTTGCCTGAACCCCTGCCTGTCCCCATGTTTGAGCTCTTAGAGTCTACTTAGAAAGTCTTCTACTTTCTAAGGAATCTTAAAAGCAACACTTTGCGTAGCTCCTTCACCTCCTACATCTATGTCCTTTCTGGTACAGCTGAAAGATCCCAAAGGAGACTGTTGGGGCACACTGATGGCAGCTGTCGCCCAGGCTGGGGAAGTAAAGAAAGAAGTCGTGTCTGCATGGTGTATCCCCAGTTATCATCTGGTCCACAAGTGTTTATGGTTGCCAGACAGTTTTCACAGTTTCCACATGTATTTATCAGGGGTTATCCACAAGAAGTTTGCCCAAATCACCAAAGTCAGGCTTACAAAACAACTACCCCCTGAAATATACATTCTGAGAACAATGAAGAGAAAAATCCAAAGGGTGGGTTCTACTGATAGTAATACATGGCATCACTGGTGCTGGTGCATGCTCTTGTCTAAGGAAACAGACGTGTCCAGATTGTCTACATACTATCTACATAGCCTACAAATCCCCTTCCCAAATATTCTGGGAGAAAACTGCTTTTGACAAGACATTATAACAAATCACCAATAAGGATTCTGTGCATTGCTGCCTTGTTCTTACGGGCAAATACATAAAGCTCCGCCCCATTAGCAAAGCCGTATATATATGTCTCTCTCTGGGGTTTTCCCAAGTCTTCTGGGGCTTTATGAGCCCTACTCAGGTGCCTGCCGCCTTGCTCTGACCTGGTGATTTGGGGTATGATTGGTAGCTGTTTGGAAGCCTTCTGTTACCCACGCCTGTTGACTGATCCATCGTTCTCTGACTAGGTGTCTGTTCTCTCTTCCTTTTTGCTGACCACAGAGGCGCAGCCCGGTAAGAACTCTCAATATTTTAAACCTTAAACACGTGTAGAGAAAGGGAGGTAGCAAGGCTGGTTTCTTATTACCGTGATGATCAATCACCCAGTGTCCAAACAGCAGACGAATTGGGTTCACTGGTTGGAAACTTCTGGCTGTCTAAATGGGAAGACATAGCTTAGAATTATCAGAGCATTTCTTTGTCACTGAATTAATATTGCATAGTGTATATCTGTAGTGTGACAAAGGGGGTTGTGTGTGTGTCCAAGGACCAAAGTGCGGCTAACACAAAGTTAACAGCAAAGTGATGATGGTGTTGATGATGGTGACGACAATGATGAAGAAGAGGTGGAGGAGAAGTGTCTTCAGAAATAATAATAATTAACAACAATAATAATGTGGGGCTCAGGGGTTAAGAGCACATAAAGAACTTGAGTTAGGTTTTCCAAACACACACTGGGCAGCTCATAGCTTCCTTTAACTCCAGCCCCAGGGAATCTGCCCTTTTCTTGACTGCAGGTACCTGCCCTCACATACACAAACCTACAAACATAATTTTAAAATAAAGTCATACATTTAAGATAATAAAATAATATAAATATAAATATTAATAAAACTGAAGAGGAGTATTTTTTTAAACGACATCACTTTTAAGCCCAAATTCAAAATACACCCTTGTTCTGTAACTTACCTTGGTCAGAGTACACACTGATTCATACTCAAAATTCACCCTGAGAAAGGGAGACACACTCCCAGGCTGTTCCATCGTTCTAAATCCTGTGGCTTTAGACAGCTTTGACAAGCTATTCGTCCTGCTAGTCCACATTTTCCAAAGGGAATTAGTTTCCTCAGCTCGGAGAATCTGAAGAATTTAAAGTGTTACAGCAGTCTCTTGCTGTTTGGATAATTGCATCTACCTACCTAATCAGCCCCTTCGAGAGGGTATGGCTGACATGCTGGTGTGCGCATTTAATCCAGGCACTAGGGAGAGTCTAAGGCAGGAGAGAGAGAGAGAGAGAGAGAGAGAGAGAGAGAGAGAGAGAGGGGAGAGAGAGAGAGAAAGAAAGAAAGGAGGGAGAGGGAGAGAGAGGGGGAGAGAGGGAGAGAGACAGAGAGAGGAGGGAGAGAGAGAGAGGAGGGAAGGAGAGAGAGAGAGAGAGAGAGAGAGAGAGAGAGAGAGAGAGAGAGAGAGAAGAGAGAGGAGGGAGAGAGAGCAAAGCTCTTTGAAATGTTTCTAAGCTTGTGCCAATCAATAGTCATTACCACTTGAGGCAAATACCACCCCACCCAAGTGACAAGCTGCGGGTCTTCTATTTAAACTGTGAGATGGCCTCTCCAGAGTATGATGATTCTGACCCAACTGTCAGGAGATTTCTCAGATTGTGACAACTCATGAGGAACGAATTGATTAATCAAAATGACAAGTAATTCACTACTCTATATATGTGCATGCATATATATACATATGTATATATATATACATTGAGCAATAACTAATAGAATGAAAAGAAGGTCACTTGAGGCTTCAGTCAATGGGCTTCCTTCCTGGGTGTGGCCTCTGTGGTGACAGTACCTCAGCTCCACATGTCATGCTGCAGCCTCAGGTCCTCAGGGGCGGCTGTGCTACACACTCAGCTGGCAAGGAGAGCCTCTTTCCTGTTTGGCTGGCTTGTTGCTGTGGGCCTTTTGAATCTATTCCTTTGTGATTGCTTTATTCTTTCCCATTTCCAAGCAAAGCAAGCTTTCCTGTCTGGCTTGCACTTACCTCACCCATTCCTGAGGTGTATGTGATGCTGTTGCAGGAGCTTCCTTGCTGCCTTCCAGTGATCACTGTGTGTGGAAGGAAGGGACACGCGTGGTACTTGGCAGACACCGAACAGGTGTTCTCGCTTCCTCGGATATTACGATTTTAGTAAAGTGAGCAGTGTAGTTAGATCTAGAGGGCTTCAGTTTAGGCTCTGGTATCTTCTGTCTGCTTGGTTGCAGTTCTCACAGTTCAAAATGGGGCCCTACTCCCTCAATCAGCTCATGAATCTTGGAATCCAGTAGTTGCTTGAGTCCCTGTGTCTCTTCCTGCATGCCCTAAAATAGTTCTCATGACTGAGGGCCCACAGCCCAGGGAAACATTTCATCTCCGCTTTAACAAGCCGTTCTCTGTCATCTGTCTATATATCTCCTATACCCAAACTCCCACAATGAGCAAAGCGGACTGAAGTCAGCGTATTTATTTCATTACTAATAATGTGATCATTCTCTATCCGGCACATAGGGTAAGAACAAACAAATTGCCTTTTCCAGGCAAAACAAGCTCGAAGATATAATCTGTGCAACTAAGCCACCCACCAAGAAACATCTGACAGGGCTGCTCTGGCTCAAACTGTTCCTCTATCACAAATAAATTCAATCTGGGGCTGAAAAATTCCGACTTGCCAGTTCTAGGAAAGATGAAATACAGCCCATCAGTCTTCTGCGGGTTGCTAGACCACGCCCTGCACTGGTAGCATTACTATGGCGAGAACACAGCACAGCAGCTATCCTGCCCCACAGTGAGAAAGGGCGACACTGAGTGCCTCTTGGACCCCTTCCTTGTACCACTGTCCCCCCCCACACACACACTTTCAACTAAGGCAAGCCATGCCCTGCCTCATGATACCACCCTCCTGGCTTCTTGCTTTTCTAGAAGAGTCCATGCTCAGAACCTTCCATAGCTTCTGACTTTCAGTTACGACTTTTAATTGAGTTTCTTTGCCTATTATCTGAGTAGGTTTGTACCAAGAAAGATGCCCTAGAAGTGACCTGCATAGATGGTTCCTGCCAGGGCTGTTTGGGTTCTTCCAGAGGCTTTGCAGAGATGACTCCTGATTGGCAACCTGGTGTCAGCAGGGGACAGAAACCAAAGGGGAAGAGGGGAAGGGAAGCTGGAGCCTCTGGAATCCCTGTGTAAAAACATTCCTGTAGGTAGGACATGAGGAGATATCAACACTCCCCACTTACACCCTTTAAGTCCTATCTGTTCTGCTGACGGTTTCTGCCAAGCATTTCAGGATCCCATCTGACTAAGGGCAGATCGTACTCATACATTTGAAAATTTTCAAATACCAAACATTTGAAAATTTGGATTTTCAAAAAGGTTTGGAGTCTTACGTGCTAGAGTTCAAGAGGTTGTAAGAGACCAATCTGTGTCCTTACCAAAGCCACCCAGGTAAGGGGCTTGCTCATTCCGGGGACTCTCCTTCTTCTCTGTCACCTTAGAGGAGCATGAGAAGCTAATGTGTGTGTGTGTGTGTGTGTGTGTGTGTGTGTGTGTGTGTGTCCACCTACAGGCTCCAACTTCAGTGTGGTTCTGAGTCGAATTTCCTTTTCCCAAACTGGGGTATCATTGAGTTCAGTTTAATTGCAATGACAGAAATAATACATATTGTGCATAACATATCTGTGGTCTTAAGCCTTATAGTGTTTATTTCTAATTCTAGGGTGCAATTAAAAGGAACTTATCCAGTAAGTATATCTTAGCTCCCAGCAATAGAGTATGGTTTGGCAGAAGGAAGAGTTCCTTGGATCTTGGAGCATAATAGCATTCAAATTGCACAGTCTGGGGATTTATTCGTAAGGCTTTCGAAACAAAACATTTACAGCAAAGATTTCTTGTTATGATGGAGGGTATCGGTTCTGAATAATTAATGCTTAAATTCTCCAAACAAATCTATTTTTAGAAAAAAAAACACCAGGGCTTTCTTCCTGTGTTTGTCAGCTCTTGCTGTATCTTTAAGCTTAGAAGTGAATGTAATCAAATGCGTTTGATTAGACACACGGTAGCTAGCGGTGGGGAGAGAGGAGGCATGTCCAGGAGGAACTAAAGGCAGACACAGATTACCCGTTCTTCCATTATTGGATATCTAATGTTCAGTCCACCGAAGTAATATGACATAAGCGATCATATATAAGGCTTGATACCCTTCCTGCCACATAAAATGTACCCTAGGAAAATCTAAATTCCTAAAGTTGCACCATTTTCTTGCCATTTCAAAAAAAAAAAAAAAAAAAGGCATGCTGACAGCTGGGTCGGCGTACTATGGGCATATGGCCTGAATTGTTATCCCCCATGGTAACGGAGAACCAGAACTCATTCAGGCAATGGGCATTTGAAGAACGGTAGGCTGTTCCTCTGAGCTCTACAGTATACAAATCTTCCATTGTTGGCTTGTTTATGGTTTTTCTTTGGGTAATGAGGTTTTACAAATGCCAGAGAAATCCTGCCACAGATGACAGCTATATGCCTGTCGCACTGCCAGGGGAGAGGGTTTGTTTTGAAGTTTTCACGTTATGTTGCTTATTGATGAGGCTTAAATCTCTAAGTGTTTCCACACGTAGCTCATATGTCACCCCAGAAGGGACTGGTTAAGATATGCCTACAAAGGTCTTTTGTCCTGTGTGTCAGGTGAAGAAGTCGCAAGGCCCCGGCGTTCCACCCCAACTCCAGAACTTATAAGGTGAGCATGGAAGATACCGGTTGCGTTTTACTCAACATGAACTCTTAACTGTTCAACAAATATCCTCCAGGCCTCAGTGGATGAAGGGCCTAACATGTGTGTGAGTTCATATATCTGCAGCCTGGGCCCAATCCGCTGTCACTTCTCCCACATGCAGCTCAAAGGGGAACATTGGGTAAATACCTGCATTTGTCTATGGCAGAATGTGCGCTCTACTTACTCACGGATCTAGAGTTATGTATAAAGAGGCTTTCTGATTTCTGGAATGTTCAGCTAAGATACATCTTATTGCCCTAAAAAAAGAGAAGTCGGATAGTTGGATATACTTTCACGATACATTCCAACTTCCCAACCAAGGGACCTTCTATTTTGTTCTTCCTCGCCCCCTCTGTCACAAATCGTTGTGTTTTACAGTGGCTTCTTTGAGTGTAGTATTGCACAAATAGTTACTGCTTCCCAAAGTGATAGTTACATCTCTTTAAAATTTGAATTATTTCTGTCTTCTCAGCCTCCGCCTGCTCTTCCCCTTTCCTATCCAGCCCCCACCTGCATGGCATGCACACAGCAAGCATCAGGCTCCCGGGTGGGAGTCACGTCTGGAAGGAATGGAGACAAAAAACAATAATAAAATAATAATCATCCATCTAGATATGTGGTCAGGAGGAGAGATGAGCTACCTCAATACCCTTTAAGATATACTGGGTTGGGACATTATTAAGTAGGAAGGAGCAAGATAAAGTTAGCAACTGAGTGGCCCAGTTGTTTTTTATTCCGATACAACTTCCTGGGCACCAGTTAAATAGCTCTGTGCTTGACTTTCGATAAACTGCATTAATTACAACAAGAAATATGGTGATGTCTTGTTTGGGTTTCTATTCCTATGATAAAATACCATGACGAAACACAACTCAAAGAGGAAAAGGTTTTTAAGTCTCAAGTCCCAGCCTACCATCATAGGAAGTCAAGGCAGGAACCTGGAGGCAGGAACTGAAGCAGAAGCCATGGGGAGTGCTGCTTACTGGCTTACTCCTCGTGACTCACTCAGCCTGCTGGACACAAGACCACCACCAGTCCAGGGATAGAACCACCCCCAATGGGCTGGGCCTTCACATCAATCATCAAGAAAATGCTCCCAACACACTTGCCTTCAGGCCAATCTTATACAGACATTTTCTCAATTAAGATTCTTTCGTCCCAGATGACCCCAGCTTCTGTCAAGTTGACATAGAAACTAGCCAGGACAGGTAACGACAAGTATAGATTCTTTTTTAGGCCAGGCATGTTGGCACACACCTGTAGTCCCAGTACACAGGGGGCAAAAGCACAAGGATCATGAATTTTAAGATAGCCCGGGCTTTATAAGCAGCTGTCTCAAAACCATAAAAAGTAAATATGCATAGTTTTTTTGAGTTCGTGTGACAGAAAGGTACCTTGTAATAAACTGTCATCTCTAATATGTCACTTCTGAGAGTAGAGACTTACCATTGTGTTTCTGTTGGAACTGCACCTAGGCCTCTGTTAGACCTCACGGTCTTCTCTCCCGCCATGAGCCTTTTCAACATGGCATCTCCATGTGATCCCTTCTAAGCCCAACAGAAGCCTTGCACACACGTGTGCATGCCTAAGTACACAAATGCATATGTTTATTTAACCGAGGAAAGTATTTGAAAGTTTGTGTATGGTTTCGGGTGTTCGTTTTTGATCCTTCTCTCTCTCTCTATCTGTCTAAATGCATGTTTTAGCAAGAAGCCTCCAGATGACACGCTGGCCCTCGCTCCTCTCTTTGGTCCACCGTTAGAATCAGCTTTTGATGAGCAGAAGACAGAAGGTAGGGAACTCTATGTCTATAGCACGGCTTTGGAGTTACTTCTGTCAAGTGAATGGATGTAATTGTGTCTTGGGAACATGAAGACAAAACACCCATACCCATTAAATAAAATGATTATTTTTTTTTAAATTTTTCTGGTTCTCTTAAAAATGTTCAGCAAGCATCTTTAGAATAATCATTCCTCTCTGTGATGGAGTGAAAGGTTAAGAGATTGCACAACCTTTAAGAATAGGAACCGCAGCACAGAATCCAGACGTTTTCAGAACTGAAGCATATGCATAGAAGTCTTTAAATATACTGACGAGCAACAAAACATGTTCACAAAGTAATTCCTAAAATGTCTGAATGGTACAGAAATAGTGACAGTATGTATTGTAGCATCCAGAGTGCCCTTAGGTAACCAACTAGGAAGAAAGTGTGGGCTCGCCTTTAATTTAGATCCAGGTACCTACACAGACACTCTCTTGCTCCCCCACACACCAAGCTTCTAGTTCTGTTTTCAGCACACTCCCAAATTAAACTTCCAGGAAGATGACACAAGGCATGTCGGTCATGTAGTGAAGCTCAACTTCAATCAAAGTTCTAAATTCCTGTTTGAACTTACCCTGAAATTTTCTGTTTTTATGTTTCCAGTTCTTTTAGATCAACCTGAGATATGGGGTTCAGGCCAACCAGTTAACCCAAGCATGGAGTCTCCGAAGCTAGCAAGACCGTTTCCCACTGGAAGTAAGTGATATGTCTGACTCATTTTACTCTCTGTCTGCATAGTAAAATTTTAGGTCACTGTTAGAATGCCTGGATAGATGATGTTTGAATTTAAAAAGAGACGTTATTATCCCACAGGCTAGATCAGGTTCCCTAAGCTGGGGTGAAATAAAATGAAATCGTGTTGTGAGCTTTGAGGCAGCCCCTCTTCTGACATCTTACATGATCTCTTGTTCATCCATCCCTCACATATGACTATGGATAAGTCAGCAGAAGCTGGACTGAAAGCACTGGGCAGCCACGCAACACAAGTACTGAGCAAGTCCGGCTGGGTCTCTGCTAGTCCCAATGAACACCTGAGATTACATGGGACGAAAATGACCCATAGACAGTAAAGATGACCTGGAAAGCAAGACAGGCTCTCTAGCTGAGAGACGGACACTGCAAGGAAACCAAGATAAATGTGTACAATGATGCTGGTTTCAGCCAAGGCGACTGGAGAGGGTCCTAAAAGGCCTCGGAAATCCTTCGCCTCTGGTGCGTTGAACTAGCTGGGCTGATTAGGTTAGTCAAGCCAGTCACCCATGGATTTATGAAGTATCCATCCGTAGACACCCATAGCCAGACGTGCATAGAAGGTACGCCTCAGAATACTCATAAAAGGAATGGATTTGAAGAGAAGATATTTGGGGAGGGAAGGAGCACAGAGGGTCTTTTATTAAGCACTGAGACTCACCAGCAAATACTCTCTCCAGCCCAGCATCCCCGGGGCTTTGCTGTTGGTGTCTAAAACTGACCATAGTAATTAGCTCAATGGATTCAGAACTAAAGGCTCAAAGGCTATGTGTCAGGAATGTTGTCACGATAAGAGCGTGTGATCCAGCCTTTGTAAAAATATTTTCCTCAAACACAGGGAGGGCAAGCAAGAGTCAGCAGCTTTTCTTCAAGCTCTGAACTTGGAATGGTGTTGCAGAAACAGTTTGAACCACAGAAGTTCTGAGTGCTTCTCCATGTGACTGAAATATAAAGTCAATTTTAAAAAAAAAAAAAAAAAGGCCTCTTTTTTTGAACACTTTTCTATACAGATCTAAGCTATCCAAATTATTCCTAGAAAATTATTCTTATTAAGTGGCAAGAAAATAAATGAAAGTCATATTTATGGAGATAGAGTTGGAACTTTAGGGCAAACTGTAGATGCTATGCGTCCACTTAGCATAGCTGAGGCTGCTGTTTAACCCCTGGACATCCTATAGTTATGCTTGCCTTCTGATTGTAGTGGAAATTCACCTTTTTTGTTAGTCCTTATGGTATTTTATTTATTTTATGATTTATCTAGTGGTTATCATCTCAGCTTTTTTTACAGAGGTGATGAGTTAGAATCGAAACCTTTGATTGGTTCTAAACTTCTAAGGAAAAGGACCCATTTGGGAAATAGTTTTCAACAGCTCGTAGCTTAGATTAAGAACCACTTATGAGGCTGGAGAGATGACTCAGTAGTTTCGAGCACTGGCTGCTCTTGTAGAGGACCTGGGATTGGTTTCCAGCACCCACATGGCAGCTCACCATGGTCTATAACTCCAACTCCATAGGATTAGAAGACACCCTCCTGCCAATGTCATGGGCATTCACATGTTGCACATCCATGAAGGCAAACACTTATACACATAAAATATAAAATAAAATGATTTTTAAAGAATTACTTATCCATGAGTTTTAAGATAGGAAGGCATATTATTATATGTGTGAGTGTGTGTGTACATGCATGTATGCATGTGCTCTGTGTGCCTGTGTGTGTGTGTGTGTGTGTGTGTATGTGTGGTAGGAGTGGAGAGGTGAGGAATGTCAGGAAGACACTCTTCCTGGGGTGTCGGGGGCTCTCTAGCCTTGGGCCCACCTGGCTCATTCTGATCTTAGGCTATGAAATATGGGCTCACACTCAGGCTCACAGTGAGGAAGGACTTATGACAACTGTGTGAACTCTTGAATCTACGAGACATGGCAGGTGAGAAAATAACATACATTTAAAGAAAAAAAATAGAATTTATTTATTGGAATAATAATTCCAAATTTCAACAATAAAATGAGAAACCCTATCCATATGAACAAATTTTTTGGTAGGGCACAAAATACTTTTTATCTTAGGATTTTATTTCCTAAGAATGTTTGTGTCGGCAATGTTTATTCTTGAACCCATCACTTCACTTCTGACGTCCTAAGACATTCTGTCTTAGGGTGTCTATTGCTGTGAAGAGACGCCTTGACCACAGCAACTCTTGAAGATGTAAACATTCAATTAATGTGGTGGCTTATAGTGACAGAGGTTTAGTCCATTATCTTTGTGGCGGGAAGTGTGGAAGCTGGAAGTATGGTGGCCTGTGGGCAGACATGGTGCTAGAAAAATCTCTACATCTTGATCCAAAGGCAACAGGAAGTTGACTGAGATCCTGGGCCACTGGGCATATCTTGAGAATAGGAGACCTCAAAACCTGCCCCTGCAGTGACACACTTCCTCCAACAAGGCCACACTTACTCTAACAAAGCCACACCTCCCAGTCATGCTATTCCCCATGAGATTGTGGGGTGGCCAATTACACCCAACACATGCTATGAGTTTAAAAGCATAGTATTGTGAAATCTGTCCAGATACAATATAGGCAACATTATCCAGACTAGTTTTAAAACCCCTTCCTGTATCCACCTCAGGACCATTGCTGTTTCCATGGTTACACCCTGGACTGGAGCTATGTTAGCAGGATTCATGATCAACCACTGTTACTCCAGAACACAGCCAATGTTTATTCAACACGGTACCCCTTGCTCCCAGTAAAGGAATTGAATTTAGCTGTGGCTTGATGATTTGTTAGATAAGTAAAATGTTGATTTTATTGCTATCTGACCTTTTGCAAAACTCCTACGGTCATAAGATGGAGGACTCTGAATGCTTCTGTCTCTTAGAGTCCTAGTTAGCGTTGTCATTGCTGTGATGAAACACTATGACCACAGACAATTTGGGGGCCAAAGAGTTTATTTCGCTTACATATCAAAATCCATTGAGAGAAGCCAAGGCAAGAACCCAAGCAGGGAAGGAACCTAGAGGCAGAAGCTGCTGCAGACACCATGAAGGAGTACTGCTTGCTGACTTGCTTCACGTGCCTTGCTCAGCCTGCTTTCTTATAGCACCAAGGACTGCCAGCTCAGGGTGGCCCCACCCACAGTGGACTGGGCCCTCATACACCAATCGCTAATTTTGAAAATGCCCTACAGGCTTGCTTATAATCCTGTCTTACAGAAGCATTTTCTCAAATGAGGTTCCCTCCTGTTCAGTGACTCTAGCTTGTATCAAGATGACATAAAATGAGCCAGCACACTTGGCGCTGCAATTTTAAACATGCAGAGACCATGGCTAGCCCATAGCCGAGACTAGGTGTGTGAATAAAAGCCCAAATCATGCTTCTTTTGCTTTTGTCATAGAATTCAGGAAGAACGCGATCACTGACACAATGCTTCTCTCTTTGCAGCGCCCCCACCTCTGCCTCCAAAATCTGTACCAGCCACCCCACCTCGAACAGGCTCCCCCTTAACAGTGGCAACAGGTAAACTAGGCTTTTGCAGTTCTGAGATGATGTGGCAAGCAGACCCATGGCCTTGGACGACAGCATGCCCTTGATGCATTGGGAAGAGTAGGCTGTGCTCAGGTGCACAGGGCTCGTGTTGGGTTTCAATGTCACGGCCACTTACTGTGCTGACTTGCTGTAAGGTACACTCCCAGGTTTCACAGAGACGTATAGTTTTTTTTTTTAATGTAATTTTATAGGATGGGGGCTGCATTGATTATGAAGTAGAATAAAGTAGCCACAAAAATGAAAAGCCATCTATTAACTCAATCCCTTACTTTGTGGGCTCTCATTTGAATGACTTGAAACTGAGTAGTCTCGAAGTGCAATTTGTATCTTTCAAGAGCCAGTAGCCTGTTTGGTAGAACTAAGATTGATTGCTTAGGGTATATAAGCTTAAGTAGGTCCCAGGATGAGCAGTAAACTGCTGGGGGGATTGTTTTCCCCAGCGGTCATTCAAATACTTAATCATTTCACTGCAAAGGCTGTGATAATAATTATAAAATATGGCAAGAAATTGCTCTAAACTATTTTAGACGCATCATTTCTGAGACAGAGCTTTTCCTTCCTTTTACAATCAATACTATGCATTCATGCAATTTATAATCTGCCAGGTCTTAATGGACAAGTAATTCAAAGCGGTCATAGTGAATTTTTTTAAACCTGAGTCCTAGAATGTGGCTTTTTGGAACCTTGTAGCAGCTTTAGGCTTGGCTGTTCCTGCAGCCTGGTGAGGCTGACAGAGAGAGAACGGGGTATTTGCCAGAAAAACAGAAAGTTAGGCCCAGTGGTTTATGAAATCTATACTGACTCAAGCCCAATAGAGGGTCGTCGAAAGCATCATCAGTAAGGTATTTGCAGGTTCAATTGTTTGCAGACCCTGTGCCTCATGAATTATATTAGCTGCAAGGAAATCTATAAGCAACAAAATCATAAATTGTTGCCAGCCGCGCAAAAGGCTACCCCATTTATCGGTGGCTTTGCCACCTTGGAAATTATCTCCTTTCCAATCAGAACTATGGAAATACCAAGCCATTTTTTATAGCCCAGGAGTCTCTTATAAGTAAGGTGAGGTGTGGGCGTGCTCTCCAGATATTTAGGTAGCAGTTTCTAATTTGAATAACCTGATTGTTGCTTTAAAACAAAAAAAAAAAGAACCATTTTCCAAATTGTAATTATCAAATATTTTATACTTCACTAAAGGATTCAGTTTTTAATTTTCTCTCTTATTATTGATATGTGTAGAAAAGAATCCACTGCTTATGTAAGCAAAACAAAATTCTCTGTATCATGCTTCAGAAAGAAATACATTGTAGTCACTACTAGTGCATTAACAAACAATCTCTGCTTTGTGAGAAAGGGAAACTCTAAAGATGCTTTCATGATTTTCCTCCTGTTACACAGGTATCCATGCAACATGCCCGATCAGAAGCAAATGCCTTGCTGTGTCCCCTGTGTGTGTTGTGTATGGAGTGTGCTGTGTTTGTACACATTTATGTGGGCTTATCTTCTTAATAATCTTTTTGTGTTTCCGGTGTATTTAAAGTAAATCTATAGCTAAATGTGATGTCCTTTTTTTTTTTTCTTTTCAATTACCAGAGACTATCACTAGTTTTACCAAACTTTCTGTTTGGCATCCTAGACTGGAGAGTCTCTGTAAAGAAGGGGCTGGCTTTCAGGGCTCAAATCTTGGGCTCTGGTATGCCCAGGTTTTCAGGACCAACTTCCCCTGGAGTAGTTGCGCTTCCAGAGCCTGAAGTGACCCTGATACTCCCGTTTCAAGATGATCAGGTGCTGCTCCACTTGAGAGCAGAACTGTGCTCAGATTTTTAAACAAGAGTGAGGTGCTCTACCGCAGTCACCTTCCATAGGAGTAACGCGAGCATAGAAATATGAGTCGCTTATTGAAGTGAGTCCCTACCCTCTCCGTCCAGTGCTTAGCTCTGTAAAGGTCTGGGGCATCTTACATGGTACAATATGCCTGCTAAGCTTTGCCTCCACCCTCCTTCTAGCCTGATACAAGTAACAGTAAGAGTTAATAAAAATTTAAAATCAACTACTTTAACCACAGGAAATGACCAGGCAGCCACAGAGGCCAAAATTGAGAAACTACCATCCATCAGTGACCTGGACAGCATTTTTGGCCCGGTGCTGTCCCCCAAGTCCGTTGCCGTTAACACTGAAGAGAAGTGGGTCCATTTCTCTGATGCATCCCCGGAACATGTTACTCCAGAGTTGACTCCAAGGGAAAAGGTGGTGACCCCACCAGCCGCATCAGACATCCCAGCTGACTCCCCAGCTCCAGGCCCACCCGGCCCCCCAGGCTCCGCAGGTCCCCCAGGGCCTCCTGGTCCTCGCAATGTACCATCTCCGCTCAATTTAGAAGAAGTCCAGAAGAAAGTCGCTGAGCAGACCTTCATTAAAGATGATTACTTAGAAACGCTCTCCTCTCCTAAAGAGTGTGGGTTGGGACAGAGAGCAACTCCACCTCCCCCACCACCACCCACCTACAGGACTGTGGTTTCGTCCCCCGGACCTGGCTCGGGCAGTGGTACGGGGCCCGCCAGTGGTATGTCTCACTGTTCGAGTGTGCTTGGTGTGCTGGGGAATGGCCGTGGCTGCTGCGCTGTGAGCAACACCCTCCTCCTGCCTGGCAAGTGGCTGTAGGGCTTCCGCCATTCCTCCTCTGGTCTGGTGTCCTGTGGCCCTGTGGCATGTTCTAGTCCATTGAATGCTCCAGTCATAGTCCAAGTGTGTGGATGTGTCTTGTCTTGCACTCCCAGCCCTAGGAGTGCCCTCCCTGACTTGTACCCTACAGTTAAGGAGGTACAGGGGTGGGGCTCTTTGTTCCTTATAAAGAAGGCTGTGATGTCGTTGTCTAGAATTCCGGAAAGTTCTAGAAGGATAGATGTCATAGCAAGTAGATTGCAGGTTAAATGTCTGAATTCTTTCCTTTTCTCCCCCACCCCCTCAGAGATATCTCACCAGGGCCCTATGGTTTGTATGTCAAAGTGTGGGGAAGGATCCTGAGGTTTGAAAGGGAGCTACTTGAGAACAACCATTGGATGAGTTATCACTGGTACCTGGGTCACCTGATCAGGTCTCTGATCTCGTGTCAGACACTCGTCAGGTCACCATGCCACCTCTAGGTACGGTGATAGGCAGTGGGACTTAGGATGCAAATGCTCCTGTTGAATTTTTTTCATCTTTATTTGAAGCTGAATTTTGTGGTTTCTAATTATACAAAGGTAGGAACACTTGCCACGCATGCCAAGGAACTACTAAGGTTTTTCCAAACCCTTTACTCCACCTTTGCTCAGTCACCTGGTCAGAGGCTCAGTGTCTTTTTCCTCTGCATGCGGGTTCAGTCTCAACATCTTCCAGGAAGTCGTGAGTGCTGCTTTGATATTTGCTTGGAAAGAGGCCACCAAGTTTGAGGGACTTAGATCTAGAAAGTCACCGAGAAGAAAGGCATTTGCCTCCGCCCTAACCCCATCGCTGCTGCCTCTTTACAGAGTGGCTTCCAAAGCTTGCACTATGTGGGAAAATGCACCTGTGCTTTGTAAAGAGAATGATCCTGATGACGTCAGCACGGGCTGGGTTAACTGTGTGCTTAGCCCAGCGGCCCTACAAAGGAAAACAATTAATACTTAAGTTTGGGGACCAGAGCAGTAAACAGAACCAGCCAGCATCTTTGCCATAAGAAACTTGAGAGCTTTTATTTTCCAATAATAGAACAACTAAATACATTACTTCAACCTTGCAACCGCCAACTGTCTTCAGTACTAAAATGTCCCCATTTTACAGAGGAAAAACTGTTTAGACAGTTAGAGGTTGCAGACTTGGCATTTAAACACTCAGATTGCATCCTGCCCTGAGCTGTACCTCTGACCACTACGTCCTTCAGGTACTTCTGAAAAGTTTGGTCACAAAACAGACTGAACTCACCTCACTACTGACGTCCACTTATATACCACACAGTGCTGGGCACTCTCCAGAGTGTTCTTAAAAGACCCGACTCTGCTTCTCTCTCCAGTCCTAGAAGGCTAAAGCAGCTGCTCCCATACAATGTAACCTTGTAAGGTCTAGTCTGGGATACAAGCTGTGTGCTTACCTAGAAAGAGTGTAAGCAACCTCCGACAGCAACCCTGAAGATGCTAGCTGTCAGCTTAAAAGAAGGGTGTGCCTCCATCATTCCCTGATGTGCTCTCTCATTCCTGGGCCAGGTTCTTAGGGTTCTGAAAGGGCATTTCAAGAAGTCGTCACCAACAGCCCGTGGTGGCCCATCATGCACTTCTCAAAGCAGACATCCACAGCCAGGGAAAATAGGGCGCCTTTGATCTTCACCTGTGTTCTCCCCGGCCTGTCACCTGCCATATTTAAGTTAGCTGGCCACTGATCTGGTGAGGGACGGCCATCTCCTCTTTCTGTTCGGGAATCTTTGAGAGTCTGGTTACTATTTCAGTGTGCAGGTTTCGTGTCCTTATTTGAACTTGATTGTCAAATGTTACCAACAGAGACTGTTAATTCTTATGAAGTAACCTATAGAAAACTGCATTCGGCTGCACTGAGGGGTTAGATTTGTAAGTAGGAGACTGAACCTGACTAATGAAGCCCATGAATAAATAAAGTTTTATACTATCATCCCCTGAATTAAGTCCCGGTTAATGTGTGACTTCATCGTGTATTGGTGCCATATAGACAAACTGCCCCAAATGAAAATTTGGGAGGATGTTTGAATGCTGCTCTTCATGAGTCTTGGCCTGGTAGGACCAGCTTTTCCTAGACATCTCAAAGCATGTGTGAACGTGCCCACTGTACACGCAGCATGGGTGGCTGCTGCTGTGACCAGTGGCCCCACTCACAGCATGACTCAGAAGAGTTGCTTGCTGCTGAAACAGTTGGAACTTAAGAATTAGTGACTCTGACTTCTATAAAGCAAAAAGTTCCTTAGCCACAGCTAGAGCATGACTTCACTGAAAGGCGGGCATTGGTTCTTGGTATCTGTGTAGAGTATGTGCCCGGGCACAGGAGAAACGTGTTGCTAGCCTGCAGCAAGTGTAGATTCCAGGGAAGGAAGAGAGAGTTAGGTTCAGAGTGACATGTTCCTGCTCAGGAAACTGACACATGACACAGTGCTCAACTATATTAAACAATACACACACACACACACACACACACACACACACACAAAATGACTTTGAACAACCTGGACTTGTCTCTTGGTTAGAGCTACTGTAGTTATGACGAAACACCACAGCTAAAAGCAACTTGGTGAAGAGAGAGTTTATTTGGCTTACGTGTCCTGAGGAAAGCCCAGTCAAGAACTCAAACAGGGCAGGAACCTGGAGGCAGGAGCTGATGCAGAGGCCATGGAGGAGTGCTGCTGGCTGGCTTTCTCCTCATGGCTCGCTCAGCCTGCTTTCTTATAGGATATAGCACCACCAGTCTAGTGTGGTACCACCCACAGTGGGCTAGGCTGTCTCACATCAATTACAAATTAAGAAGCTGCTCTCCAGGCCTTCCCACAGCCCAGTCTTATGAAGGCGTTTTCTCAATTGATGTTCCCTCCTCTCAGATGACTGTATCTTGTGTCAAGGTTACATGAAAATAATCAGAAGAGGTTGAAATGAGTACATTGATTGCTGACCTTAAGGAAAGGGTGATTAGCTTCATCTGACAGATAACTTGGCCCTGGTCACAAATCTTACGAGTAGCTGATGTCTGGATTTCTGTTCTGCCCTGTTCCCGCAATTGTTAAGTCCCAAAGAAATCACACAAAGGTCTATATTAGTTATAAACTGATTGGCCCATTAGCTCAGGCTTCTTATTAACTCTTAGAACTTATAGTAGCCCATTATTCTTGTCTATGGTAGCCACATGGCTCAGGACCTTTTTCAGCGAGGCAGTCACATCTTGCTTGCTCTGTGGCTGGGCCAGGACTGCAGAGGAATGGGCGTCCTTCTTCCCAGAATTCTCCTGTTCTCATAGACCCGCCTCTACTTCCTGTCTGGTTGTCCTGCCTATACTTCCTGTCTGGTTGTCCTGCCTATACTTCCTGCCTGGCTACGGGCCAACCAGCGTTTATTTAAAATATAATTGATAGAATACAGACCATTGTTCCACACCAAGTAGCAGCAGCTAGATCTGCTGAAGATGTGTTGGATTCCATGTCCTGGAACTCTGCCATTTCAACTCTGCTGCCTCCACTGCCTGCAACCCTATCCACAAACAGATACATGGGAAGGGCCAAAGCCAGTACACTGCAGGTTGAGAGCAGTAAATGGGCCGAGAGCAAGCCCAGGTTGTCGTTGCCTGGGGCTCACAATTTAAGCCTTAAGCAGTGTGTTTCCCAGGGTATTTCATACCATCCTTCTTAGGGGTAAAATGAAAGGATGATTGAAAATCAGAGAGAATAGGGATATATAAATATGACCTTGCACCCATTACACCTGAAACCAGTGAGAAATGTCACAAAAGCATGCGGAGCATTGGTTCAGTTGTTAGGTGCTCACCAGGCCCTGCACATCCCCTGCTGCACCTTGTGGTTCTGCCCAACAGGGGTTCATCAATAATCAATGTGTCTTTTAGTTTTTTTTGTTTGGTTGCCTTTTTTGGGGGGGGGTTGGGTTTTTGATTTTTTTTTGTTTTTGTTTTTATTGTTTTTTGTTTTGTTTTTCAAGATAGAGTTTCTCTGTGTAACAGCCCTGGCTGTCCTGGAACTCACTCTGTAGACCAGACTGGCATTGAACTCACAGAGATCCACCTACCTCTGCCCCCCAAGTGCTGGGATTAAAGGCATGAACCACTACCACCAGGCTATGTCTTCTAGTTTCTATGCATCCCTTGACTATCTGCCTACATAATCTATTACTTCCATTACTTTGATAAGAATAGTATGACGTAAGAAAGGAGTCTATAAAGGAAAATAACTCACTTTTCAGCTAATAGCATTTTCTATTACTTTAGCTCTACCTGCATCACAAGGCAGCTGTTGGCACCCTCTTTGGTATCAATTGCTTTGTGTTATACAGCATCTCGGTGTTAAGCAAGTTCAGAAGCACGTTCAGTTTGGGTTGTTATCAGTACCTTTGCATGGTAGAGAGAGTTTTAGAGAGATGAAAGATCCCACTCACAGCTGAGTAAGGGAAATTGGGAGCAAAATTCAGTCTTTCACCCCGTCATATTGCCCTGGAGACCGTCCTCAGTCCAAGCATTCCTGGAAGAGGGGTCTTGACTTCCTCTTCTAAAGGTGATGTTAGCTTGAGCTCCATTCAGAGGATAATAGGTACATGAGCAAACATTTTGGAACACTCCTACAGCAAGATAGTCCTAAAGCTGAGTGGAACGCCCCTGTGACCCCTGCAAAAAAAAAAAAAATCCCACGAAACCTTCCTGACAAAACTGCACTGTTAAGAATATATTTCCTATCTCTATACTCACAAGTCTGTCTTCTAAAAGTATGCTGGGCATAACATCTACTTAATACTCAAAAGAATCTTTGTAGTGGGCCTGTCAATCATACTTTGTTTTTTTAAAAGAGTGTTGGCCAAATACTAAGGACATTTAGATTACAAAAGACGTACACATGCTGGAATAAAAACAGATTGTATACAAGTTGTGGCAGTCCATAGTCTATCTGAAGTTTCAGGACATGTATGTGTTTTGGGCTTAGCAAACCATTTGTGCTCTGTGATCATGGACAACTAAAAGAATGTCCGTCTTCACCGAGGTTCAAGCAGGGTCTACTCTCAAGACTAAATGTGAGGATGATGCCACATAGGGAAAGTACTAGCTTAGATCCTGGCTCAGTAAAACAACGTAAGAGTAGAACAAAAGAAAGAATGCAGTTGGTACTAGCAGAGGCAAGTAAGGATATCTAGGAGAGGCAGTAATGGCGTCTTCACACTTAGGAGGTACAAACAGTGTCAGGACCCAGTCAAGATCTCATTCTTTAAACAAGAGAAGCCAAGTGCACCCTCAGAAACTCTCATGGTTCTGAGATGGGTTTTACCCTTCAGAGTCAAAGTTCTTCTGAGAATCTCAAAATCTGGGCTGAGGTGCCGGTCTCAGACTCTAGTGGTCTTGGTTTTGTGTTTTGGTGTGTACAGGAAGTAGCTTGAGGGGCGGGGATATGGAGATGGGGATGGATGGGTATAAAGAGAGCTGGTAAGATGGGGGATGTGGAGGTGGCAGGGTGCGCAGGAACTGGTAGGATGGGGAATGTGGAAGCAGGGACATGTCGATATAGCAAGTAGGGGAGGGGGGGTTTGGAGGCAGCTTGGGGAGGGTTGTGGAGGCAGGGGAGTGTTTTTCTGAAGCATGATTTCCCAGCCTGCTGTTTCTAACCAAGTGAACAAGAACTGCCTGGACATGGATTTCGCCTCCTAAGGTTCGGGGCCAGGTAGTTCTCCATGCATCCCGGACTTATGACTGAGGACAGACAGGTCCCTGAGCACTGTGCTCAGTGTGCATGCCAGCCTCTGTGTACCATCTGTGTTCCATATGCTTGTCATGGACAGCCAGAAAAGTAAATCCAAGAAGCTTTTGCAAAACCACCCAAGAGATCATCAGTAACAAACCCTACCTTAGCAGGCTCCCAAGGACACTCCTTTTGAAGGAAGCCCTTACTGTGTTTCTGTCATAAAGACCCAACACACAAAGGACTCCTGGCCTGTAGTGCCACGTCCTTTGCTTACACTGCCTATTCAAGATAGGAATGAAGTTAGCGCTCATGGGTTGACATACAGTCAACAGCATAATTCTCTTCCCTGGGTTTAAAAAAAAATCTAACATAGAACAAGCATTCATCTTTCTTCAAGTTTTAACTTTCATCTTCATCTTGGACACAAATTCTGGACGTAAATTAAAAATTAAAAGAAATATATTTAAGTCCCATGTGTACATTGTTAAAAAGAACCACCCCTACTGCCCGGCCAAGAGTCCCCCGAATTCACCTCCCATCAAGGATTTACCTTTCATTGGATGTCACATGACAGCAAGGTGATAGCTTCAGCTTCTGCCATCAACCATAGTCCAGCTGAGTACTTTTTTTCTTTATTGAAAGAAAAAGAAAATGCTCTGTGCAAACGGAGGCTTAGGTAAAGCCACTGCAAAGAAAAAGAAAAATTCGCATCCGCGTCAGGCATTGCTGGGCGCTGATGCATTCCGGACCTCCGTGTTTCCCGCAGCCTCTAAGCCCAGCCTGTTTTCCAGGTGCATCGTCTCCTGCGAGGCCAGCCACCCCCTTAGTTCCTTGCAGTACCACTCCACCTCCGCCTCCTCCCCGGCCTCCATCCCGGCCAAAGCTACCGCCAGGAAAACCTGGAGTCGGCGATGTGGTATGTCTCTCCCTGCCTTAGCACGCTCGGAACAAGATCCCCAAGTCCCCTTATACGAGCCATCTCGACTTCAGGTCTAAGCATCACAGCACAAGTGACCATCACGGGGGCCAGCTGAAAAAAAAAGGTCGCTGTCATGTGAGGATGTCTCTCTACCCTCAGATTTCCCCCAGCTTTCAAGCTGAGGTCTAAAAATGGTGGGAAGAAAAACTCTGGTTTCTGACCCAGAAGCCAGATAAATCAGCAGCAGAAATCCAGCGATACAAATACAGAGAGCGGTGGCCTCTAAGTGAACTACCAGTACTTCCTTGGATCTTATTGTAAGATTGAGGTGTGGGAATAGTCTTCTCAGTGGGTCGATTCAGAGGCATGTGGCAGAAGTAAATCTCAGTGACCCTTGTTCAACAGCCACTGAATAAATGTCGCCATAACACTCAGGTTCTGTCTCGAAACCTCTCTGTGGAGGCATACAACAGTGTCGTTCCTGAGAGGCATGAAAATGACCGGTCTAAGCCGGAGTGCCTCCTGAGCTCACGAGCTGTGGTTTATGGCTGCTCTTACCCCAGCATACTGGCTGTGTTTTAAGTGCAGGCCAGTTCCAGGAAATTGGTACCATGGCCATCAAGAACCTGAGTTTTCGTATCCGGAGCTGAGGGCCAAGAAAGGTGAGGAAACCAAGTTGGCAAGATGGCTCAGCCGTGCAGGCCCTTGCTACCAAAATCTGATTTCAACCTCTGTGGCCCATCTAGTAGAAAGTTGTCATTTGACCCTCCTGTGTACTTCATGGCATGTATACACACACACACACACACACACACACACACACACACACACACGGACGCAAAGTAAATAAAATGTAACAAATGTTTGAAAATGCCGAAACAGTGTATCATGGCTGAGTCTAACCTTCATCTTTCTTCCCCCTGCAGGCCAGACCCTTTAGTCCACCCATCCACTCTTCCAGTCCTCCTCCGATAGCTCCCTTAGCCCGGGCTGAGAGCACTTCTTCAATATCGTCGACCAATTCCTTGAGCGCAGCTACCACTCCCACCGTTGGTAAAATGCTCTCTCTCTCTTTCCATGTGTCTGTGGCTGTTGACTGGCTATCCTTTACGATCTGAGCTTCCCGGCCCTGTTTCTAGTCGTAACCGTGTTTGCTGTGTGTTTGCTACGATCACCTGGTTCTTCTCTTGAAAGCACTTTCTCGGCTAAGGAGGCCACGCTCCAGCCGTACAAAGTCACCGTCTCCAGAATGGGGAAACGTGTGTCTTGTAGGGATTTTCTTACACTGTCCCCCGCAGAGCGACTCACAAAAGAAGTCACCAAGGAAGGTGCTAGTATTTGGATATTTCTTGTAATGAAAAGCATTCTCTTTTGAGAGAAAATGTTTAGATCAGAAATATTTTTTTTAAAAAAAATTTTTTGGAATGTTCACTGTTTTGAAACTTTCGATTCTTCGTCATTTTTGGTTGTCTAAGGTTGACAAATACAGGCACCGGCATTGAGATACGTGGGAATTTTTTCAGCCTTTATTTTTCTAGTGCTTTTCTGTCCTGTGAGGTCCATTTTGCCTGGAGGGGGAAAGCAGTCATTTTCAGTAGATGCCCCTGTACCTCTCTGTGCACCCGGTGATGAAAGTGAAGGTTGAGAATGGCTGCTCAGAGGGTGGCTCACCACCATCACCTCCCGTCCTCAACCACTGCCTCTCTCCTTTACTGCATGCTGCCTGACCTGGAACGTTCCCGACACACTTTCCCTGTATCACCTCAGTCCCCAGTTCTCCCATGCTGTAAACCAGCCAGCCCATTCTGCACTGCTTGGGAGAATCAGTCACTCGGCTCAATCAGTTCCTGCCACCATCTATGGAAGAGCACACCACAGACTCACCCATCTGAGAAGTAGCTTGAAAAAAATCCAAACGCTCTCCTAGAAAACCACTGCCCATTTTCTCCAGAACAAGTGAAGCTGTGCCTCTAAGAACCATAAAGGGAACTTTTTAGCTTTATCGTATATTCTATAATTTAAGCCATATCATCCACCTCTCTCTCTCTTTCTCTCTCTCTCTCTCTCTCTCTCTCTCTCTCTCTCTCTCTCTCTCACACACACACACACACACCTTCAATGTGGGTTAAGTTAATAAACTAAAAATGTAGCCCCTTTCCCAATTTCATGGGATTTTTTTTTCCTTTTGGTTTTTCAAGACAGTCACACGTACCTCCAGCTCATGTAACTTCTTAATAGACCGATTTTTAACATTGTTTATATAGCCTTCTCTGTTCTTTTTCTGTATTGACTAGAATAATTTGAGACTTCCTGGTTTTCGGTGCATATTAATGTTAGCTCATTCCTCTCTGGTTCTTTGTGTTTGATGTTTTGCGGTAGCTAGCCCTTTTCACCCTCTGTCTCTTTACTCTCCTTGATTTGGGCAGTCACTTGCTCAAATCGTGTGCGAGTGTTAAGCTTCCTCAAGATCATTGATTCCACACTCTCCGTGTGATTTGCTTTGCTGGATGAAGAAGGAAGCGTGAGGTGTGTAACTGGAGGTTTCTCTCCCACTCACCAGTTCCCAAGTTAACCACACTGAGGCTTAATACTAATTACAAACCGTTTGACCTATTAGCCAGGCTTATTAATGGCCAGCTCTTACAATTTAAACAAACCCATTTTTATTAGTCTATATTTTCCCACGAGGCTCGTGGCTTCTTACTTCACATCTTGCTTCCCTGGAAGCTGCTGGCATCTCCCAAACTCTACCTTCTTCCCCCCTGTATTTGTTTGGATTTCCCACCTGACTCTATTCTTCCTGGCTATTGGCTAAATCAGCTTCTTTATTAACCAATGACAATAAAACATATTCACAAGATGCAGAAGAGCATCCCACATCAGAGCTGTCACTCAAAAAGTGACAACACCGTGCCTCAGATGGGCCATCCAGCACGTTCTTTCAGCTCGCTGTGACTCAAGGAGAAAACTGAACACACAGGGAACCTCCAATTACAACCAGTAACATTGATCCTCATCATTCCTAGTGTGTGTTCATTCAAGATGAACCACGGAGGACTTGAAAAAATATGATAGACCCCTATAGGAAGCTGGTCATAATGCCTCCTTCAGAGGAGCACCCCCATCTGCTCTGTTAGGTTCTGTTGTTTTGGTTTGGGTTCCTCTGCCCACTGAAGTCCTCACCACCTGGTCACATGACCGCCATTTCTCTCTGAAGTCACTCTGCTTCTGCATGACCAGCCAGCCTTGTGTGTTGTTGTCTCTGCTTTTCTCCAAAGGCTCTGCCTTGCTTAAAATGACAACTCGCTGGAAACAGGTGGACTGGGGAAGGCTGAAAATTCACAGCAAGCTCCCTCCCACCTCCACAACACTTTCCTGCCATTCCCTGCGCCCTCTGTGTTGTTCTTGGAGCAATTCCATGGGAACTGATGAGCCAATCTCAAAGTCAGGCATGAACTAAAAATTTTTAAAGCGAATCTGTGCCACATTTAATAGTACACCTCGTGAGGCCGAGGTGGGGCGGATCACAAGCTCCTGGGTTACATGGACCCTTTCTCCAAAAATAAAATAACAGCAAGTCAAAATTCTCTACACAATAATTCATATAAGAAAACACCCATAAACAACCTTAAGTATGAATAACTTCACAAGAGTTGTGAGTCTAGAGTAGAGAGCCCAATACAGCATGAGAAGGTAGAAATTTTATGTATCCCTACCCTCAAATAATGAAGAGTTCTCACATAGCTATATATTTTTTTAACTTAAGAATTCCTCGATTTTTAAGAACACCATGATTTTATATATGAGAAAGAAAGACGAAAGGCTTCCATATGCGTCAGGGTACACTTTTTTTCTTTTTCCCTACTGCCCGAGCTACCCTCTAATTCTAGACCGCTGAGAAGAGAAGATGCACATCTAGAACAAAGGGAGGGAACCCGGTGACGGCTTCTGTGCTAGAGAATGCCCATGGCACCCACGCTGTGCAATTCAGGGGAGGGGGAAATCTATCGCTGCTAATGGAGCACAGAAAGTGTTTGAAGTCCTAAGAATCAGATGGGAGGTAGCGGAAGAGATAATGGGGCCTTATCTCTCCTTGCGAGTGCCCACTTTAGTACTTGCTTCCTATCTCAGTGACCGTGAGAAGTCTCCTGTTTTGTTTGTTTCTTTGTTTGCTTGTTTGGATGATGGCAAGGCAGGCAGTTCGGCTCCCCTGTTAGCTCTAATCCTTCTCTGGTAATTGTGCTTTCTGATTCACATCTTTCGTGTGGCAGGAATCTGTAGCAAGTGAAAAGCAACCATCTCTGGGTAACAAAGTTAGTGTCAGGTGGACGCTGATGTTTCCTTCGGTCCATAACTTGAGTCCAAGTGACTCGTTCTAAAGCAGCGCAACATGCAATATTTCCTTCGATGTGGGTAGCAATTCTAAATTCTATTAACTTTCGGGGGGGGAGGGTGCATGCTCAGTTAGCCTGCATAGAAACGAAAGATGCTATAATTTGTGAAATGTCTGTATCTACTATGCCCATTCAATGGAACACTACATTATTATTACTAAATTATTCCACCTTCGAGGAAGCTGTAAATACAGTTAAATACTGACAAATAACATTCAAAACCTGGGGCTGGAGAGACGATTAAATGGTTAAGAGCACTGGCTGCATTTGATTCCCAGTATCTGCATGGCAGCTCGTAACCATCTGAAAACCTAGTTCCAGGGAATCCAGCACCCTCTTCTGGCCTTTGAGGACACCAGCATGTGTGCACAAACATACATGGCAAGCAAAACACCCAATCATATGAAAATATATTGATTAACAGGTTGATTAATTTGTTTAGAAGTGCCTGTTGCTCCTCCAGACGGCCCAAGTTTAGTACTAAGCAAACTTAGTTCATCCGGTGGTGCATGACTATAATATCAACTCCGGGAATCCAGTGCCTTCTTCCAGCACAGACATGCTCCCCCACAGTGCACAGACTCACACACATACACACTCATATGCATACTCATACATACACAGACACACAGACACGCACACACACACTTTTTTCCTTAAATCTTAGAATGCCAATAACTGAAAAAGGAAAGTTCCCCTGTCATATACCCTAAGCCTAGCCATCAGGTCATTAGAATGTCTTCCAAAGCATCTGTTTATGAAACATTTATTGGATCCTAGTTTCAGTCCTTAACTTCTTTACTATGAGGATAGGTTTCTCCAGCACTAATTTTATTTGATTATCTATTAAGGTTGTGTTAGCACCTTTAAAAACGGGAGCATTATTTTCTAATCACACAGAGTAAAAAAGCAGTTCCTTGTATTTGTTGTTTGGTGAGGAGACAGAGTTAAGATCAGAAATAGTTAAGGATTGGTGTCTCAGCTCATAAAGCTGTGGCCAATTTCCAAAGACCAACATCTAGTCGCAGTTGGAACCATGGTCAAAGATATTAGTATGATCACACTGTCCAAAATGAGTGACCTTTCTCAAAGGCAGGTACACGTTAGTTAAAATGGCACCCTGCATGCAGGAACCCTGGATTTATACTGCTGTTTTGTGGACAGGTTAAAAGCTAATGTTTTTCTTCCCGGGGGAATATATATGCCGGGTGATCTCATTGAACTGTCGTGGCTATACTGAGGTTCGTGTTGATGGACACATGTCTGACCCCTTGGGAACTGCAGTGGAGTGAAGTATTCTCACACAAGAAAAGCTGAGCCTTTCATGGCTCCCTGAGAAGGTGGGAGGGTCTAACTCCTTCTCTGTAACTGACTCCCACCACATTGACAGATGCTAAACCCTGACTTTTTTTTTTCCATTTTGGTTCAGTTTCTCCTCGTAGAATCATCTCAAGTAAGCTCATCACTTCCCATATCTTCACCCGAATCCCAGTGTCTTAAATTCTTTCCTTTTTCTCCGTGAAAAACATTCCCGCCTCGGTCAGTAAACTGTGCTTCTCTCGGCTTCGTTTGGAATTTGTATTTGTGCTTTTGTTTTCCATTCGTTTACGTTTCTTTGGTTTGTAGTGTCGGAAGATGATGTTTTTTATGACAAACTGCCCTCGTTTGAAAGGCGCTGTGACACGCCTGCAGGTACGGTGCTAGCCGAGCGCTATCTAGATACGTAGAGTTGTTCCAAATCCAAGCCATTTTCCATCTGAATGCTCGAAGCTTCACGGACATGCTCCTCACCTCATGAGTCCCCGTGCCTCTCAGAGGCACCCCGGACGTGTCCCGTCCATCGTGGGACTCATGCCACTGACCCGATTTTAAGTGGACATACTTATAGAGCAGCAGGTTGCATGACAGTTTCTCAGAGAAAAGGCTCCTCAGAGCAGGTGAGATGCCATGGCTGGGCGAAGTTCAGAGAGAGAAATCATTTCAGTGCCCAGAATCTGTTGACTGCTTTCTAGTGTAAAACTTGCTGAAGCACCATTGGAAATCTTTCTTCTCTTTGGTACAGATGTAAAGGGCGTGTTGTGGCTGGACACCTAAGGTGATGCCAGCAGAGGGATTGGGAGATCACTGACATCGTCTGTGAACTTTAAATCGATATACAATGCCATGCTGTTGTCATTGAAAAGCTAAGCAAATGTTGCCTATAAACCTCAACCCCAGGTTGTGCCAATAAGCAAAGGGGTGACCTTGAAGACAAAAAAGGATCCAGCAATTGCTGAATGGCAGTTTTTTTTTTTTTTTGCCCAAATTAATGCAGTTAAACTATGCTAACACCCCTGCATGGCCAGGAAGACATCCGCTCTGTGCATACAAGTGCCTAGCCTCAAGCTACCTCCACGCGTGTCCATCCCTCCAGTCTCCATAGCTTTGATTCTGCCTTGTTTGCTCAATTAAAACAGAGACAAAACGAAAGACTCCAGACTCCCAGGCTTCCCTGTTTCCTGCACGCTAACGGCATGCAGTGCCTCCTCTGCCCTTCCCCGTAGTGAGATTAATGACCTGCTCTGTAACTCACATCGTGTCCTTCTCTCTCCCTCTCCTTAACCTTCCCCATCCCGCTTCAACTCCTGGCCAAACAGAGAATGAACAGCCTTCCCTCGTTTGGTTTGACAGAGGAAAGTTTTATTTGACTTTTGAAGGTAAGTAGTGCATAGCATACCAGATTCTAATTTCTAGTCTCCTCTTTTTTCGCTGTTTTTTATTCTCATTGAAAAAAATTCCCAGCCTTCCTCAAACTTCTGGTTTTGCTTTCTCCATTTAAAAAAATGCTATGGCTACTTGGAAAGCATCAAGTACTAAAGCAAAGCGTTTCATGAATTTGGTTGGTATCTCTTCTCCAATCTTTCATGTTGAACAAACTAAAGCTGATTTGCAGAAAACATTGGTTACTTAATTAACGATGGCCAATTAAAAGCAGAACAAAACAGAACCTTCTTTGGCTAAGGAACTTGACTCTGTCAACCAGGCTCTTGCCTAATCCTTTTGCAAGTGTGTTGTGGCAAACTTGAGCACAGGTGGGATTGGGATTACATTTAGCCTAACTTAGAAAGCCTGACGTTCCAGAGGGAGAATCCAGTCCTGGGAACTGTAAATGTGTGTGCCTGTGTGTGTAAATGCTCCATGGGGTTGGGGGGGGGGGGTGTCCGAGAAACAGGAGAAGAGACAAGGAGCATGAGGGGAAGGTTTGCTCTGCTTCCCCGGGAACTACAACCGTAATGACTGCAGTAAAATGGGCAACTACTGTGGAACTTGCCGTTCCAGGAGGTTAAGAGAAATGCATAAAAATAATGTCCAGTTTTGAGGCTCGACATTTGATATTTGTTATACTCTCCACTAAGGGTGAACACTCTTCTGTTCTGCGTGAAACTTCTAACTCATCTTCACAGGCCACACATCTGAGTAAATGGCACACTTAAACTACCAGTGGGAGAGGAGAATTAAGTACTTTACCTAATCAGTCATTTTATGCGTAGATATTTACCATATAAGGTCCTACATTGTACAGTTTTAAATAGTGAAATTTATTCCGGGGTCAAAAGCTATATATAAAAGTGACACGCACACACACACACACACACACACACATACACAAACGAGTGTGTGTGTGTGCGTGTGATTTTTCTCTCCCTAGAATTAAATACCAGTATTGAACTTGTCTTTGTGTTTCAAGACAACAGGAACTTGAGTGTGTGTGTTTTAAAAATCAGAATGGTCGAAATATAAAACAGGATGAAATATAACAGCAAAATTCACCCAACAATGACTTTTCCTTATAAGACAGAAGCCCTTAATGCTTGCGCAGGTGCAGCAAACATGGTCTGACTTCAAGCCTTTCTGAAGTCCTGAAGTTTTTTCCTGGTGTGATATAAAACAGATGCTAGGTGATTCTCCTGAGAGGATGCCTTTTCCCACGTGACTTTATCACCTGAGGACCGTAGTTTAGTAATAAGAAATATGCTAAGCCCACAAACTTTTGACTGCCTAAATTTTCTCTTCCAATCAGCAGAAGTGAAAGGGTCCAGGTGAGACTTCTGGACCGTTTCTCTCCTGTAATCCCAGCATGCCAAGCCTGATGCTCTTGAAGCCAGTCAGGGCTAGTAGCAAGCTCCATGCTGGAGAGAACCTGTCCCAAACCATCCAGACAAAATACATCCAGGCTTCTTCTTACTGATAGGTGCATCCATAGAGCATCAGAAGCTGCTGCTTCGTGATGGGTTGGAAGTCCTAAAGCACAGCCCCAACCTGTACCTGCCAAGGCTCTAAGTCTGGTGCATCTCAGTCAGTAGCAAAGTCTGCACTCAGCTAAGCAAGCCAGGAAATGAATTAACATAATAGCGCATCATATGTATAGAGCAGTCTGTGGCGTCTTTACCTAGGGAAACCTGCAAAGGCTGCGAAAACTGTCCTCTGTTGATCTGATAAAATGATGCAGAAATGTCTGCATTGTAGAACTCCTGGAGACTATGGCCTCCCCTCACCACTTGTGCTCCAAATGGACAGCCATTCAGCGCCTTCTGTTGAATAGCATCTGAACAGAGTGTCTAGGACGCTCATGTTTGTTCACACTTCTTCTTACTAATTATTCTTTTCTTCAATGCTTCATCCAGAAAGTGAAGAGCATGAAGGTTCTCGTGTCCAGATCTTCACTTGTTCTAAGCAGATTTTCATGTATTTACTGACTTCTGAACGATGTTTTCTGTAGTGTTTATGACTTCATTGTTCACTTTCTGTTCTTCATGATGATTAGGATCTGATAGTCACTCAGCAACATTTAAGTCATTGACCAGTAACCATGAAGTAACCAGTGAACATTGATAAGTAAGTTGAGTTTGAAATGACATGAAGTACCTCACACTTACTAACAAATGGGGTACCAAACCTTAGATCAGGGTCCTAGATTACAAGACTCCCAATGCTTCTAAAAATATATTTTGTAAGTATTTTATTTAAAAAATTAATGTATTTTACGTTGGGCTTATTAGGAACATGATTCAAATGTTAGTGACTTTTTTGTGGTTTGGGTTTTCTGAGTCAGGGTTTCTTGCTAGGGACTTTTTAAGTCAACCAGAAGAAAATCCTGAGGCTGAGACTAGGATTCGGCCGGTAAAGACTTACCACACAAGAATGAGGACCTAACAGTCACCTCAAAACCTAGGTGTCACAGTTCACACTGTAATCCCAGCACTGTAGGGGTGGGAACGGGAGGATCTAAGGACTCAGTGGCCAGCCAGTCTTGCCAAATGGTGAGCTCCAAGTTCAGAAAAGACCCTGCCTCTAAAGTAAGATGCAGAGCAATTGAGGAAGATGCCCAGCATTGACCACTAGCCATGTGAATGCACACCCATACACGTGGGCACACACCTGCATGAACATTCACGTGCACATGAGTGCACACACACACACGCACACACACACACACACACACACACCATACACACAGTATATCTGCCTTCAGCATCAAGCATCCTCAGGTGGAAGGGAATGATACTTCCGTAGCAAATCGGGGTGCCTAATAAATATTTCAATTCCGCAGTGCCTTTTAATGTCAAGATGTTTCCAAAAACGTACTGCCTCTCTCCTTGAATGACGTCATAGACTACAAAACCATCTTGCATCTGGCACGGAAATCAAACAGCAGCCAAACCCTTGCTGCCATGAGTTTCCCTGTGTCTAGGACCGTCTCGGTCACCTGTGTCACGTATCCTCTGTGACCCTGCATGCTCCTCTTCCTCCTGTTGGCGAGCATCTTCAGCACCCCTTCCCTACACTTCAGCCTCTCTGATAGACTCATTTCCCTAACTGCACCCCAGCTCTCTGCAAGGACCAACATTTCCCAGAGGCTGTCTCCACAGAACGTTCTTCGCTTTCCTGTGGCCATGTGTCACGTGAGAGCCAGCTTTAAATTCTCAGGGCTCTGCTCTGCCCTTCAAAACCTCCTGACTCTAGACAGCACTCATCGATCATCTATCTAATCGTTCCACCGGCTTCCCTCCTTATTGCCATTGATCACTGACCTCCAGGCCTCCCTCCGCCTTGATCTACAGACTCCAAGTACCAGCAACTTCCTTTTAATCACGCTCACTTTCAAGCGCCATCCCTCACAGGTTCTTCATCCAACTCTCTAGGGCATCTCAGGCTGCCTCTGCCTCCACTTGTTTCCTCGGCTCTACTCAGAATCAGTGCTTTGGAATCAGTGCCTGCAGACAGGGTTCATTCAGCTTAGCTATTTCATAACTAAAACTGGCCGTGCGTCTTACATACTAGAAACGGTTAAGCGATGATTCTCTCCTTCAACAACATCCATTGAGGGCTGTGCTGGCCGCTCCACACTAGCAAAGAAAAAAAAAATATCCCTGTGGCCACAGAGCTTACGTTCTCACATGCAGGGCTAAAAACGGGGAAATAAGCAGCATATATATGTGGAGAATGTAGCGAGTTCTATAAGAAAAATAAGACTTGGTGGAGACTGGAGCATACTGGGAGAAATGAGGCAATGAATCGTGAGTACGGGAAACCTGAGCGCTCTACACAAGTCACTGCTGAAGAAAATAAGATTTGGGTGATGGCTTTCCAGAGCCTTACAGCCAGGCAGAGTAGGATGTAAAACCGTGTGGAAGACACCCCGCCTCACTCCCTCAGCCCACTGTAGACACAGTCTCATCTTCAGGGCAGGGTTTTCTCTCTCCCTCATCCCTCCAACTCTGTCATTCCCAGACACAGCTTCTCTGTGCCTCACTGGAACCTCCTCTCCCACCCTTCCCACTCTGACTCCACCCACCAGCCCAGTCATCCAATCGGGTTCTTTTCTATACCCTGATTAGACCCCAGAGAGTAAAAATTTATTTCTGGAAGGACTTTGGTCATCTCTGGAATAAAAGACTTTCTTTTCTCTCTGGATTTATGTTGACTCTGTGAAAAGGTACGCTCAATGTCTCACCAATGCAAGCACGCTTTCTAATGTCCCTAATTGCATGTAGATAACACTCAGCTCTCCCCCTCCCTGCTTCTCTCTCCTGTCTGTCTGTCTGTCTCTGTCTCTCTCCATGGTTCTAGGGATTGAACTTATAGCTTCTCACCCACTAGGCAAGTGATCTGTCGCTGAGCTACACCCCAACCTCACTCACTCCCTTTTATTTGTCCTGATTTGTAAGAAAATCCTCTAAGAGTTTGGGAAGGCCGATTAACTCACTTGGAAGTCATTAAAGAAAGGAAAATTGAAAGGTGTGGACAGTGTTCTGGGAAATAATCGCCTTGCTTAATTCCCAGTGTTCTTCAGGTGGGAGGGGCCCTCTGATTGTGCCACTTAACTCAGGCCCTTTTCCATCAATAACACATTAAGATTAATGAGTGCTTGCTCTGAAAACCTCACAGCATCGAGCTATCGGGCCGGTGAAACAACGCAGGAGCATAAGAAGTAGCAATTCAAGTCCGTCTTCATTCAAAATGAAAGCTCAATCTTCGCCCTTCTGAGACTGTGATGACTGTGGCGTGCATACGAATTGTACAACCTTTTCAAATAGTAACGGAAGCCCGAGAAGCATTTGTTTCTTTGTTTCAACACACTAAATCTGTCTAAAAGATGGAAGTGCAATTGGAATCTGCAAAACGTGCTACCAGGGAGATCTGCCGAGGATTTAGT